ATATATATATATATATATATATATATATATATATATATATATATATAGAGAGAGAGAGAGAGAGAGAGAGAGAGAGAGAATATTCATGTTTGCCAGTTTCCCTCCCTGTGAAATGTTTATCCAGTGCCTTTAGCATATTCACAGAGTCATGAACTGTTGCCAGAAGCCACAACCCCTCAGGGAAGCCTATTCTCATGGCCAGTCTTTCTGTGACTTCTCATTTGGAGATTGCTAGCAGCCCTTTGTAAAAGCTGATAGATGATTTTTCTTGCTGGTGCTCTAAAGCCCAACCCTTTGGAATCACTTGCCCGAGAGACAAGAGCGCATGCTAGTTGGGGTGTGGTTCAAGTCTGGGGGTATCAGTGCTTGCTTGGAACCTCAGTCCTCAAAGCCCGATCTCTGCACTCTGAGGAGTCTTCCCAGGAATCTGTTATAATTAGTCAAGTTTGAGTCAGCCTCAAGAACTGGTAACAGCTAGACCTCCAGTGACAGAGGAGGACTGAGCTACAGTGGTTCTAGAGTGGGCGGATTCCAGTCAATTCTGAAGTAGAAAATGCAGTGTCCAGAGAAGCTCCTTCAGTGGCTCTTGAAAGTCACAGATAGATGAGAGAGAGACAGAGAGAGAGAGACAGAGAGACAGAGAGAGACAGAGACAGAGAGACAGAGACAGAGAGAGAGGCAGAGACAGAGAGAGACAGAGAGAGAGACTGAGACAGAGAAGGAAAGGGCATGGCTGTTCCTAGGTATGGTGGAAGAGGTTTACTGTAGATGAAAGAGAGAGCATAGCCAGAGGCAGGGACAGGGGTATTTGGGAGAGTCCAGAGTGGTCATGACCAGACCTGAGCTGTGCAATGTTGGGAGAGAGCGAGTGGAAGGGAGAGGAGAGACAAACAGAGCCAGGTGCAGCAACCAGGAGACACAAAGGTATAATGGATCCGCCAGTCAAACTGGTTGGATTCTATAGGGAAGAGCAGCCCAGCAGCCTGGGCTGAAGAGTTTAGGGTGGGGAGCGGGGTATGCCAGTCAGGAGGACCCTGTAACAGTAGGGACTAAAGGATGCGCTGAGAACCTGGGGGTCAGGTCTGCTTTGATCTGTGGTATAGGCACCTCAGCCATTTGGCCCGGGTTTGAACCTAATAATGGGAACTGCCATGAGGCAAGGTCTTCAGTAGCACAAGGTGAGGGTGATCGGAGACTAAGCAGAGACAGCCGAGACCCAGGTGGAGTAAGACTGGGGATCTACTGAGGGGCTTCTGAGCAGGCATGGGTCTCCTAGGGTCTGTTGAAAACTTAAGGGTGACTTTCCTATGCCTTTCGACTCCCCAAGTCTTGCATACAGTCCTGACTGGCAA